AGACCAACAGGATATCAAATTTTGTGTAAAGTAAAATACAATTCTTTATTATCAGAGCTTTCAAATGCATTTGTAACTTAATGTTGGGAAGATAAAGCATGCAAAGTGCTAATGCTGGTGTTGTTTAGAAGGTAATTTTAAACACATTTTTAATGTGAAATGCAACTTGGCATGGGATTTGTGTGTGAGGGGAAGGTGTGTGTGGGGGGGGGGGGGGTTAAGTAGAAACTAAACAAAAATAATTTCAAAAAGTTACAATAAAATCCAAGACAAGTGGTTGGATACTCACACCAAATTGTCTCCCTAGGACTGCCCTTCACTGCCTTTTTAGAAGAGGAGCAATTGTCATATTCAAACTAAGGGCAGGGCATAACAGACTTCACCAACAGATATTCAAGTCTTTCGATGCAGGAAACAGAGATGAGTCCCTGCAACTTGACATCACAAACTGCTGAGCATGCACTCCAACAGTGTCAACTGTTTGCTGCTAACAGAGAAGCAAGCTGGCCTGTTCTAACTTCAAAGGAGATAAACCTATATGGTACACAGGGAGATATGGACTGTATAATAGCTTACATTCAGGCCTCATGGTATACATTTTCTGACAAAAGCAGCAAAGAAGATATTTAAATAAATAAAAACAAAATAAATAAATTAAATATTAAAAATGAATTTGCATAAATTCTTCTTCTCTTCCTTGTTTCAATAATTTCTCCTAATAAAGTAATGTTACAGTAATACTGATGACATACACAGAAGTGACTGCCTCCGAGCTAATGTCAAGAAGTAAAACATAAAATTACGACTAGAAAGCTTAATAGAGGGAAAGATACCCACATACAAAAAAAAATAAGCTTAACAGCTCATATTTTCTCTCTCTCTCTGTGGGTTCCAGTTAGTGACTTGCTGAATCAGATGTTTTGCGTCGTATCGGCATAGAAATCACAGCCTTGCTGTAAACCATTACACAACAAGCTAACTGCCCTTTAACTCTTTGAGTCCCAGCAGGTTTAGCATCACAGGCCCAAGGGGTAGTCAAGAGAGACGTAAAATCGGCGCATCATGCATTTGTTGGGCTTCTAAGTAACAATCTATGAATGTATGATGCATTCCTTGGGACTCAAAGAGTTAAAGAGCAGAAAACAAAAAAGCACCAGCACTCCTTTTGCCGTTTCTTGTATGTTTCATTTTATCATTGTAAGCACTGTCCATACTTTTCTCCTTTTATGTATTTTATGTTCTGCGCTGACCTTGTCAGCTACTTAATTAATCTGTTGTTTAATCCACCGATAAAAGACTTGTCATTGTATTTATGAGCATCTTATCTGTTCCTCCACTGAACTTTCTAGCCAGCAGTTTTTATGTTTTTTATCCTTAACAATTAAATGCTATTGAAAGATTCTCAGAATATCTTAGACAAAGAAGAGGAGAAACGCTGACATCTTGAAAGATCTGAACATCAAGGAAGATTGGCTAAAAAACAGCATCCTGTCTCGGAAGCTGTAATATTTTGATAATTTCAAGTGCCACGGCGGATGAAACAAATTATAGTAGAAGGTATGGTACCAGCAAGGAAGGGCAGGGACCGACCCACACGAATATGGGCACAGGATATAAGTGACTCCTTGAGTATAAAAGTACATGAGGCAGGGGAGCTGGCGGGGGAGCCAAGTTTCTTCAAGGCAGACTGTGATGAGAGCGATGTTCTGCAAAGGACCTGCTACATGATGATCCTAAATTATTATTGTTAATAACATGAAACTGAAAGGCAGAACAGTGTTAGATTATTTTTGTATGGATCATACAGAGTAACACCTGTTAGCTAACAGTACATTATTAAGAAAAGAAGTATCTATTACCACCCCTGTTAGCTAACACAACATTACTAAGCCAAGAAGTATCTATTTTTAAATTCAGATAGCACCACTTGCTAAACTATGACCATCCTGTCATTAACCAACTGTCTGCATTTGACACTCCCTAAAAGACACAGGAGCCATATTTCAAATTCTAATGCTGACACACATTTGAATTTACCATTAAAAAACATAACTGCAATTCAGATACAAGAAATACTGCTGTTGATGTTTTGTGTCAAGAAAGGCTCTGGTTTTCTTGTGTGTGTACATTGTTCCCCTTTCTCTACATCTTTAGGTTTCATTAGACATAGTTCAGTGAATGTATTTCTTGGTTTTAGCCTGACTGCAGTCACCCCTGCTTTTAATCACTATATGAATCTATCTGTCCAATTATTTTGCTCATAATAATCAATGGTTATTCCGCAGCAACAGGAGACTAATAGAAAATTCAATATGTACAACATAAGTAAAGCTTCAACATTAACAAAGCATTTTCTTTAAAAAAAATGTAAAAGATCTTTTTGTTTTCTGAAATGTGTGTATTTTCAATCAATGTTACAACAACTAGATTCATGCAATACTGATAATTTATTCATATGGCAAGTGTTTCTCAAAAATGTTTTATTTCAACATTTTAGCAGTAAGTAACTGCTGTTAAAGCTGTCGCTGTCTGTGGCTTAGGCATTGCAAGCGTGCATTGTAATTCCGAGGTACACTGTTTGATTCCAGCTGCTGGATGATTGGATAACAGACCACCTTGCACTGATTTTAATAATGTATCAAAAGCCAACCGTTGAAAGTAAAACTGCCTAGTAAAACCAAACAGTTAACAAAAGCTGGAGGTTGGTTCTGCGCCATCGTCTAAAGGATTTGCAATTAACTTTTTAAAAATAATTAGTTATATGATGCTTTGCTCAAGTCAAAAAAAAAAAAAAAAAGACGCTTTCTATGCCAGTGGTGCATCAGACATTATGATTTTACAATTAAAGTGACAATCAGTGTGTATACAGTCAACATATACTGGCCACCTTTACTTCGAAGGACATTTCCTGACAGCAATGCTTTGGTTAAAGTAACATTAAAATAATGTGGAAACAAACAACAATCGAGATAAACATACTTCTAAGCAAACAAGTAACAGCGGATGCATTGGTGAAATACATTTCTGAATCAATAAATCAAAAAAAAAAAAAAAGTTCTCCAACATACATGCAATTTAAAATCAAAATGACAGCACTTCCATTTGGCTACTAGAGTGAGTGGTAAAGACAAGCAGTGCAGTCATCAAGATACTATTACAGAAATAAATATTTAATACTGAAAAAGGATTCAGTCTCAAATTATAAAATGTATTTCTTGACTTCCACACACAACAGCCAAATTTGATAACCATTTCTTGACATTTTCTGTGGCATTTCCATCTCTCTTTATGTATATTGTGCTCTATATTTGAAACCTGTAGTATGATATTCCTACAGTATACATTTTAGCAAATGTATTATATTCAAAGTCAAAGTATTCCACAATTTATATAACAACATTAAATAAATAATTCTGATCAACCTGAGCGAGTAAAACATTTCTCTAAAATGTTGCTGTCTAAAGCATCCTTTGTGTCAGGAGGAGGGAAAGTCCACCTGTGACCACATCAAGTCCTCAAAATTCATTACGCCTAATGAGGCAATAACAATAAGCATATGACCAAACATAGATGGCACAATTTTTGTTAGCTGATAATGCTGTATGACCAAAAATGATGTTAACCATCTGAATGGCCCATGGGATAGCAATACTCTAAAATATAATTACTGCTGGATGTTATATCATTTAAGAAACTAACTTTAAGGTCTGCACAAAGTGATGCGGGAAATTAATTAATAGTACCCTTTCAAGGCCACATTTCATGGACAGCATTATTTTCCTTTTTTTAGAAGGAATTCACAAACTTTAAGGATTTTTTTTAAATGTTTCAACAAATTTTTCTGGTTTTTTTTTAAATATCAAACAGATGGCTTATCCCTCGAGTTATTTCTTGCTGCTAGCAAAAAAGGAAAACATAAGACAACGTAACCAACAACCAGAAAATTTAAAATTTAAATGTGAAGATCACTTAGTGCTTTCCTCACAATTAAAAAGACTCCAAAAATCTGTAGTAATTTAGTTGATGTTATGAAGCTGACTATTTTATAAACTTCACTCTGTCAAGTGTTCATTCTATTTCAATTTTCAAATTTTCAATTTCTATTTCTTAATCAGGGTCAACATCTTTTATACAATAAGCAGCTGTCGCAATTCTATACTGTATACTCATCATCAAGCATTTTGTGTTTTGATCCAGTTGTGAAGCTTCCTCCCTATTCTATTCTACATTTAATTGTCTTGTACTGCTCTCTTTATAAAAACTAAAAATAAAAAAGACAGATTTTACACCTCCCAATGATTTTTTCCCCCATGGAGTCTATATGTGTTTCTTCATGTCTTTTTAGGACAAGGCAAGTAATAAGAGCCCTCACCTTTCTATTACTTCATGAAAAACATGCATGCACAACTGAAATAATGTATACAGCAAAATTTAGATCTAATGAGCAATTCAGAAATTGTCAAAATAAAAACTAAACTAGAAAAGGATACTAAGAAAAGCTAATATTTTCCTACTTATTCCATTCTATCTAGTGTTACTATTGTTAGCTAGACGCTCGTGCGGATCGGAAAGTCGTGGGTTCGCTCCCTGGTGGAGCTGGCCATTTGTCAAAAATGACCTTGGCTCCCAGGCTGACCCAGCCTTAAGTGGGTACCAGATGCAGTCCCAGGAAGTAAAGGCGGCCGGCACGATGCTGACCACATCACATCACCCATCTTGTGCCGATTGGTCTATACAAATATAGGTCTAGCCCTATATGCCTAAATGCATGTAAAAGGGTCCTTTTTACTATTGTTAGTAGGTAAACTGTTTGGAACTAGAAGGAAAACAAACACTTCCACTTTGAAAAAGTTAATTATATCAATAGTAATACTGCCCCAACAAAATATTAGAACAATAATTTAAAAGCTTAAGTAAAAAATTGAACTGTAAAGACAGTGAGACAAACTGACAAATCACTGTAGTCACATTTAAAGCCTACATTACAATCTGGCATACAGCTATTGTGCTCCGTTTCCATTCGCATGTGCTCCATTAACCTTTACTTGTGCTCCATTACCATTCTCTTGTGCCCCATCACCATTCACCTTTGCATTATGACTATCCTTGCTTGCTTCGGTTTTCGGAGATCTGCGCTTTACTCTAGCATACGGTCCAATCTCAGGATCAAATATGAAATCCCAAATCACACTAACCCAGGAATGATGGCAGGGCAGGTTGTCATAGTATTCTGGAGCAATTTTCCGAACCTACAAGGATACAAAATATGATACGGTAATAAACATGAAACAAGGCATAAACCAAATGATGCAGAGCAGACTATGAACAAGACAGAAACATTACATCAGAGAAATTATAAAACAAGATATGACTATGATCGATGCAGCCAGAAGAAGAAGAATTCTCTTATCTTCCTCAAGACGCAAAGTGGCTAAAGAGAACTTAACACAGAAGAAGAATATAACAGTGCAAAATGTTTAGGTAATACTAATGGTAGCTACAGATGTTCAGATGTAGTAATACTATGGTAGCTACAGTTGTTCAGGTGTAGTAATACTATGATAGCTACAGCTGTTCAGGTATAGTTATAATATGGTAGCTACAGCTGTTCAGGTGTAGTAATACTATGATAGCTACAGCTGTTCAGGTGTAGTAATACTATGGTAACTACAGCTGTTCAAGTATAAAGTACTAAGCTTTCTGATACTCTAAGCCAAGGCTATTCATATGGAGGTCTGTGGACCAAATCCGGCCTGCACAGTCCTAGCAAGTGGCCCACTGACGATTGCCAAAACAGTGATCTGTCTACACTGGGGCTTGGGCCCACAACAATCCCCTATTTTTAGGATTTTGGCCCCTGAGTAAATTTAGTTGAATAACAATATTCTAAACTATGATATAAGTGGGGTGTACCTAATGTCCCTCCTCTTTGCCTTTCCATCCCAAATAATAATTATAAAATTCTGAAAAGGTCTGGTAGCCATTTTTCTGAGACTGGATCAACCCAGAATTGACTGATATTGTACTGCCTCTGCTGGAAACTAAACCCAGGTCATTATCTTGACAGACGGGTGCCCTAACTACTGTGCTACAGCAGCTCCTACATCAGTGTGTAATATTTATTCTCGCAACAACAAAATGTGTGCTTAAACTTTTCAATAAATGAACGAAAAGCTGACCCTTAAGAGTAGCATTACATTATAAAGTTATGTTATCAAAATCGAAGTCGCTGCACATTGGGCATTTCCATGCATGCTGTTCGATGTACTTCTACTAATTGTTTCCATAAGAAGTTGGTTATAACGTCTCCTCGAAGGCAGCACAGACGTGCTTCACCGTGCTTTACTCCCATGTCACGTAATCATGTTATAGTGTCAGTGATTCGCCATTATCCACTAGCCCAGTCGTACAGTGTTAATGATATATGCTCAGTCCATGCTTCTTCCCACATGCACTGGTGCATTTCTTGCCAGTTGGTTCGCTCGCTCATTACCCTTTACACCAGCATGACCAGATGTGTGTAGATCCAGGTCAGGGAGGTTTTGCAATATGAAGTAAGGAAGCTCATGAATATTTCAGTCTCACTGTGCTGTTAATTATAATGTTAGAACAGACACACAATACACTTTGCAGAAAATGTTCCAAATTAGCCATATCAGAATTTTGTGTATTAAGATTGTCTCCGCACAGTATCTGAAGGTTTGTTAACAGGTCCCATACCAAGTAACTCTTCTTTTTCTTCTTCACATTCACCGGTTGTAAATGCTGGCCGAAAGTTTTGGATGTTCGCCCACTTCTGGACTCTAGTCCTGTTCCAGAACATATGTGTTGCATGCAAATCTGTTTCACAGACCTGACTCGTGTATGCAGATTGTTGGTTCCTTGCCTCTAACTTTGAAAAAAAAAACTCCCAATTAGTCTTACGACATACGGCTGGGTATGCAGTGGGTGTATTCTTGTTTTCTCCACAATGGGGCCTCGGAACCCACATGGGGAGTACCAACAAACTCAACATGTGTTCATTACTAAGTCTAAAGACAGTTCACCCTTCCGACTCTTTTCTATTATAGACACATGCTACATTAACTTCTTTTGCTTTCATACTTCTAGTTCATTCTATCCAAGAGTATTATAGGACTGGGTAAATACATTATGTAATAACTGTACGGGTGTATAGCCAACTTATTGTTACTGACTACTTCTATTAACGACAAACTGAATTTATGGTGGCGACTGTTGGCTTCTGTGACTCAAGCAACTGTCACATGCATTTACTCAGTGCAAATATTTCTGGATTGTTCTGCGATTAACTGTTTGTTCACCAGTTTTTTAAAAGGGACAGTGAGGGGCATTTCATTTGATTTTCATTGGCACAGGAACAGAGCAAGTATGGGGTGACTTGATTGCAGTGAAGTTAAAACCTTGGCTAAGACTAAGAATCATAGAGTTAACTTCATCATACTCATACAGTGGCTGCTTTATGCTAGAATTTATCAAAATAGAAATAGTTAAATACTTATTGACTGAGAGTTAAGTACTCTACAGATATAGAATCAATTTGATACCTTAGTGGTGTGTGAAGCCACAAAAGTCCACACGGATCACTACCATATGTGGTGGAGTGACCAATTAATTTTTTTATTAGCTTAATTAGGAATTAACAAACATAAGGCAAAATGAAAATCTGGTACTTAAAACGTTAATAAAAAAATGGAGCAGAGATAAATAAAGCAAATTCAAAAACTTTTACCAGTTTATCAAAAATATGACATTTAAACACAGGAAAACTAATCCACGTATAAAAGGGACAAATAATAATCAGGTTCAATCCCCAATGAGGCAGATTTTTTTGTTAATGGACCTGGATTCTCAGGCTAACCCAACTTAAAGGTAAAAGTCAAAAAGATGAATTTCACTGCACCAGATTTTATCCCATTTGGCTCTATCCTCAAAACAGTTGGCCGCCTCATAAGAGTGAGCACAAAGCAGAAAACCCACAGCTTCAGCAATCTCCATTAAAAAAAATTGCAATCAAGAACAGAAAAACATATCCATGAAGCGAACCTACTACCTTCACAGCATAATGCTAACGGCTTGACTGGCCTTATCACAGAGACCCCAAACTAAAAATTAGTACCAGAAAATGTTCTGGGAGGAATGACAGTCAGCAAATATATTGACTATATCATTGGCCAGCACCATATGCCAAAAACATCAAAGGCTAAGAATTTGTTTTAACTGCTCGCTGACATTATTTTAAAGATAACCTTTAACAAATACACCCATACAAATTCTCTAAAGTAAACACCCTTACAAGATTCCTATTCTTCTGTCGTCCAAAGGAGGACAGGCCCTCAACTAACTCATCGTATCCGGTTCACCCCATGTCCTCACCATCTTCTCAACTTCCCTCTTTAGCTCTCTTCTTCAAGTGTTTTAAGGTCTGCCTTTATTTCTAGGCCCCTGTGGGTTCTAGTGTAAGGTCCTTCTAGTTATATTTTTTCAGGTTATCTCAATGTGTGTGCTACCCAAAATCAGCCTCTTTTTCTTCACTTGATTTACTGGAGTGTTTAGTTCTACCCAACGCTCCACATTAGTAATTCTAATACCATTTAACCATTTAACAGTTAATGAATCTGTTTAGTTTATGTATAAGATTATCATGCATAAATAAACATGATTAAAAATTATGCACTCACCTGTGGCAATCGAGATCCTGGAATGCTGGGAAAATCATGATGTTCATTATGATACCCCACATTCCATGTCAAACAGTTTAGGGGACCATAGTAAGAGTAGGTCTCGTAGCCTTTAACAAACATATAGTGCTCAGAAATAAAATGCCCAGCCATTGGATGAAGCCCTGTAGCCATGAAGGTACCCAGAACTAAGTATGCCAAGGCCTTAAAGCCTAGGTACTTATAAAGAATAATATCGAATGACAGCTGAAGGATGAGGTTGATAATCTCCAAGATGCTCAAGGGCTTTGGGTTGACAAAGAATGGGCGGATCGAATAGAACCACGGTTGCAAAATTACCCAAACAAATTTGTGCAGAGTGCGAGTGAAGAATTTTGTTTCCAGTCCCGAAGGAATATCAACGTCCATCTTTTCATCTCCTTGGTATCGATGATGATCTAAGTGATATTTCTTGAACGAAATTGATACTGGCAAACCTAGAGGCAAATTGGCAAAAAATCCAAATAATCTGTTTGCAAAAGGTCGATTATGGCCAAAAGCCAAATTGTGGGCAATTTCATGAATGGCCAAACTAAGAGAATGGTTGACTGTTCCGCCTAGAATGTAGGCGAAGATGAAGGTTGTTGGCCAGGAGCAATCTTTCAGTGTATAGCAAACCAGCAGCTGCAGGAGCACCAGGGCAATGACGATGTATTTAAACTTAGGATCGCTTCCCATTAGCTTTTTCATCTCTGGGTATTTTGCTGAAAATGCAATAAAACAAAACAAAAAAATTATATTGCCTATAGAGAAAACTACTACAGTGTCACAAATATATGTAATTAATCATTTTGTTTTCTACCGTCTACCTTTCACCCCCAGTGAAATAGAGACCTTAAACCAGCTCACTGGGAGACACACCAGATGTTTCTTGCCCTATCTTCTGAAATAGTTTGCAGATCATTTCAGATGTTTCTTGTTCTATCTTTTTATATAGCATGCAGACACACCCGTTCTTTCTTGTCATATTTTCTGATATAGCATGCAGATAACTCCAGGTGTTTCTTGTCCTATCTTTTGATTAAGCATGCAGATCACTCCAGGTCTATCTCATCTCATATTCACTGGACTATTTCTCTTTTCTTTGTGTTTTTATCTGCTTTCTCTAGCCCTGTGTTTTCCAATGCAAGGATATTTTAGTTATATTAACAGATTTTCTCAATGGGCATCGTATCTGACGCCAGACAGAAAGCACATAGCGTGAGTTGCAAGTGATGTCAAAGAATATGATAACAGCAAAACTGGTTGAAGACTGACGTGCTACTGAGAGACAGAGGGCAAAAGAAGAAAAAGTACAAGCAGAAAATGCTTAAAAATGTTTTTCTAAATATATTAGCTAAGGTTAGTTAGTTGCGTATCCTTTACAGGTCGTTTTAGAACCAACCCCAGCAGCCCCGGGCTGTTGTGTGGTTTCTTTAGACAAATTTACATCCAGTAGTTTTCCATTGCTTTCTGGACGGTCGGCTTTTTGATATCACTGTCGAAACCAATGCAAGGCGCATGGCCCGCAGCTGGGATTGAACTCAGCACCCCGGCATTATGAAGCATTCGCAACGACTTAGCCACAGAGCCGACATATTAGCTAAGGCAGATGCAAAATCCGTACTTGAAGCACTCTAGTCTGGGAAACTACTAGAACTGCAAACACTGCTGATACAACTCAGCCGACAGCATAGAGTTGCAATGCAGTGGATACCATCACATTGTAGAGTGCTTGGAAATGACAGAACTGACCAAATGGCAGGGAAAATTTACCAGTTACCAGCAAAAGAAAGAGATAATTAAATCTATCAGGAAACCACCAGCCCCAGCACAAGATGACTATTCTATTATGGACAGATCAGAAAAGGTAATTATCCTTCGCCCCAGAACAGAGCACAACCGATTACGCAAACACATGTACACAATATTCAAAATAGGTGAATCAGTCATATGCACTTGATGCCCCAGACAGCAGAACATGTACCTCAGGACTGCACCAAATATGACACATTAAGAAAACCTTTTTGGCCAGAAAGAACAATAGTGGAATGTAAACTCTAAAAATCAATGAATAAACTATTTTTTAAAAAGAGTGATGTAAATTTATACAACAGACACAAATTACTGATGTAGACAACTAATTTCAGGAGAACAAAGAAGAAGATTGGCTATTAAAGTATGATTAAGTTCTTTAAACAGTTTGACTAGTATGTTTTTAAATAGGAAGTGCTTCTTCTTAGTTCAGCTTTAAAACTGCTACTGACATGTGTAGTGGTTTAGAACTTGGCTGTGACGTCTGCAACTCTCTGCCCAATACATAAAACTGCAGCAAAATCTTAATTAGTTGCCTGTAACATGCTTTGAGGGGGTAGTTGGTCTATTCTGTTTTCCCCTTTAACAGAATTTTAGGGCCCAGGAACCCAAAGGGGTGTTTAATATTAGTACCAAGAAAAGTATATATTTTCTAAATATATTAAATCACTGAAATTAACCCTAAGTTAAAATTATATTTTCTAAACTGAGTAATATTAAGACATGTATATTTTTATCTAAATAGGTTAAAGTTACAATTAGGACAAATAAGGCAAAATGGGTAAAGATAAAACAAGTATCCCTAACAATAAAGTCGTACAAGGTGACTAATTAAGGGGTATTTCCATCAGAGTGATGAACCAACAGTGTGCATACAAATAAGACAGATCTGTAAAATAGATGTGCAGGTAAAACTCTCGAACAAGATTAAGGACAAAAAACTGACAGAGAAAACTATAATTTTCTAAAGTTTACGGCTGGTGAATGCAAGTGTCACGGATGGCAAGGTCTTCTTTGGAAGGGTGAAAAGTAAAAGATGGTAGCCTACCCTAGCCTCCAAGCAGCTCACAAGGAAAAAACATACCATGAGGTCTGAAGCTAATGAGGCTCTGGCTCGCCAGGTGGAAAAAAAAAAAATATTTTATTAAATACTCCCTCAAACTGCATCAAGCCAGCAGTGGATTGCTCAAAGAGCCATTACGAGAAATCATACTGAATATCTGAGGCAGAAAATATCAGCATCTAGGTAGCACAAGCCAAGGCTCTCAACCGATGCCTCTTCAAAACCTGATGCTGAAAGGCAATACAGGATTAGAGAAGAAGTAGAAAAAGGAGCGCAAGTAAGATGAAGATCTATTCATTCCTCCTATGTCAGGACTTGGCCTATCAGTCACCTATATACTCACAGACACAACTCTACTTAGTGGATGAAAGGAATGGTCATTATTTATCACTTACGATGGACAAAAAACACAAACTATTATGCCTGTCTCTCTCTATATATATATATACACATATACATACACACACACATACATATATATATATATATATATACATCAACGTTTTGACACAGATAAGAATACTCATATACAAACCTGACAACAGGAAATAAAAAATGTTTTGTCTTTTTATTGCTAAAAATTTTACTTTTTTTTTTAATTTTCTCTTTAAAATATTCAATTTCTACATGACTGCTGCTCACTTTAAAAAAAAATGGTGTGAAGTCTACATGTTTCTTTACCTAGTCCAACTAATATATAACCATATGATGATTAACATGCTGGTAACCTTACTTTAGTGGAAACAAACTGATCATCATTTTTCTTAGGATTATTATTGTTAGTACTCCAAGGAAAGCAATTCCTTTTTAAAGGAGACAAAAACTTAAGACCACTAGCCACTAGATATGGCTACGCTTTTTTGTGCTTATTATCTTCCAATATAAAGCCCCTACAAACTCACCCAAAGCTGTCCTATCCTTAACTAACTGTGGCATGCAGCTAATCCCATATTCTGTTCATCTCATTTTTTTCACCCCACTGACTCATTTTTGGTTTGCCTTTTATATTCCTTTGACCATAAGGGCTTCAGCAAAAATACATTTTCTAGCTGCATAAAAACAATTACACTATCAGGCAAGTAAAACATTTTTAACATAAATAAATCAATTGTTTTCAGCATGTTCCCAACCAATGATTTCTAACTATTCGATATATTGATTTATTTTATTTCTCTTTCTGTCAGCACTTTAGTTTATCGCTACAGGTATGTCATTATCTTAAATTTACTTTTAACTTAACTGCTATTTCGCATTGTTGTTTATTCAATAAATCAATTATATTACCAATTAATTTATCTGCTCCATGGCCTTCGCTGTGTTACGTGTTCAATTAACTGCTAATAAAATAAGTATATGATTGACGAGATACGACGATAAAACTAAAAAATTATCACCAGGAAATAAATGTTGCAATAATCTAATGCTTTAGCTATACAGTATACTACAGTTGTGGGGGGGGGGGGGTGTTTAAAGTCAACCAGTGTTGTTGTTGTTCTGCTTTCTATCCCCCCAATGGAGCATAGGCCCACCAATGTTGCTACTCATCAGGAAACCATGTCCAGTCTGAACTGTTTTGCAACCCAGCCAACTCAAGTGCGAGATTTACAACCATATAGACATAGTCACTTAAGTTAACTACTAACCAGTGTCAGACACGCAAATCAATCTTAAGTCACATGATTAGTTTACATCCCCGTACAATTATTATTATTTTTGTTAAACTTTAAAACTGATCACTCTCTCGATCAGTTTAAAGTTAAATAAACACAAACTAGTAACTTACCCAACATTTCCTTTCGTCTCGTCGCATGGGGTTCCTCGGTATAAACCCATTCGAAATCACTTCTGGAGACTCGAGCACCCATTATGACAATAAATCCTCACTTCTCCAGCCCTCGTTAGAAGACGACTACGTGACCGCGCCGCAGCTCCTTCGTTTATATAGCAGACTACCAGACGTCAGGCCGGATGAATATTCATTATATTACATGCCAGATTTCCCCCATTTTGTTTTCATTTAAATAATATTCGCCAACCAGGGGTCCTAGAGGTGTGGTTGTTATTATTATTAATATTACAAGATTAATTATTATTGATATAGTAGTAACCTTCTTCTTCTTCTCCTTCTTCTTCTTCTTCTTCTTCTTCTTCTTCTTCTTCTTCTTCGTTTTTCTCCTCCTCCTTCTTTTTCTTCAATTTTCTTCTTCTTCTTCTTCTTCTTCTTCTTCTTCTTCTTCTTCTTCTTCTTCTTCTTCTTCTTCTTCTTCTTCTTCTTCTCATTCAGTGGGGATGGGGGGGGAGGGGGGCCTTAGTTTTTTTTTTCACCAACTCAGCCGAGGCGACCTATCTTTTGACATCTTTGTTTCCATCCATTCTTGTCTACGTGGTATTTTCTTCCAACTTCGAAATTGCTTTACACATTAAGATCGATCTGAGTGTGTGTGATAGTATTTATTTATATTTATAGCACGGTATTTATAACACGCTGTAGCATTATATATTGATAGCGCGATGCCTATGGGCCGAAACCTGGGAGCTCAGGTTATTTACATTTTTTTAATATGAGGGTGGGTAGAGATCACTCTAAGTCCTGTGTCTCTCCTTATTCACCTAATTATTTGCCTTATAAATGTGTACTGTGGTGAAGATGGCGTAGTTCAGAGGTTCTCAAACTGTGTGCCGCGGCACCCTGAGGTGCCGTGACAGTATGCAAGGGGTGCTTCGGCAATAATCAATTAAGTACTTTTTATAAATAATATGTTATTTTGGCTCTGTGTGTGTGTGTGTGTGTGTGTGTGTGTGTGATCATGAAATTCTTCATTCCAAATCAGACTTGAAAATATTGCTAGCGAGAATATAAAGGTGTGTAAAGGCTGAACGAATGAGGAATTAAAAGCGAATTTTGTTGTATTCGTTCGTGTTCTCGCATTAAAGACAACTCAACAGTAAATTTATACTTTTTTCTTATATCTTTTTTTTTCCCCTCTAAGTATTCAACCCACTTTAAGGCTAGGTGTTACGTAATTTTTTTTTAGCCCGACAAAGGTGCCATAACGAAAACAGTTTGAGAACTCATAGATGGAGGGAGCGACCGCCCCCCCCCCCCCCTTTCCAGCCCCCTCGTGTTTTACTAATTTATGAGGGGCTAAAAGCGCCTGTCTCAACCCTCCATTTTTGCCTAGATAGTGACTTAAGTGGCTGAAGCCACGCATCCCCCTTTCCCATGTAATTTTAATTTAGGATGCTCGGACCCCCCCCCCCCCCCTCTTTTTTTTTTTCCCAAATATTCGCCTTTAAAAAATATAAAAAAGATGGGCAGGGCATTGGGTGAGCTGCATGCAACAGTGTAGGATATAACAACTTGGCGGGCGTTTGTTAAGGGTCTATGTTCCATTGGAAGGATAGAAGGCAAAAGAAAGAGAAAAAAAAAACTCCTATGAAATCTGGTCAGAAGTATTCCAGATCACTTTAAATAGCCTCATATATAAATTACATAATACATAAGAGCAGAGGACACAACGCAAGAAACCATGGACAGTGAGCTCAACCACTTATAATTTTTGAAAGGGACGACCTCAGGGAACTTTTGTCTTGTTTAAGTGCGCAATAACAACAGTAATATTTATTAGTATCAAAGTTTTTTATTTTGGCGGTGCGCTGTGGTACGCAGTATCGGTACCTTATTAGACATCATTGTAAGTAAGTAAGTAAATTTTACCCCACCAGGACATCACACAGAGCGATTAACACCCGGTGACACAAAGTGCCACCATGCGGCTAAGAATCCCCCGTGGAGAGGTCCCACAAACCGCGTTCAACCGTTAGGCTAAATTGCGGCTCCTAGCAAAAGCCGGGGCGGGGCTTTAAAAAAACGAAAAATTGCGTCCCACATTGGCTTAGTAGCAATCACATAACACATTATTGTTTCAGCATTATTGTAATAGACACTTTGTGGTTAGTGCCGACTCATGTTTTAGACATTTGTGACAGTACCTGCATGTTTTGTTTCTAAAAAAATGCGTTGATTACTATTATTGTAATTATTAGAATATTTTATTATTACTGCCATAGGCTGTATGGCAAAAACAATATAATATATTTGAAATAAAACATATGAACAAATACTTACAGAAAAGGACAACCCCTATACATGGATAGAGTGACCACTTAGTCCCCTTGCAAATGTTCTCTATGTGATCGTGGGGGGGGGGGGGGCGGTACTCAGCTCAGTGACACACACACACACAGAGAGAGAGAGAGAGAGAGAGAGAGAGAGAGAGAGGGCGCTACTCAGCTCAGTGACACAGAGAGAGAGAGGGGGGGGCGCTACTCAGCTCAGTGACACACAGAGAGAGAGAGGGGGGGTGCTACTCAGCTCAGTGACACAGAGAGAGAGGGGGGCGCTACTCAGCTCAGTGACACAGAGAGAGAGAGAGAGAGAGAGAGAGAGAGAGGGGGCGCTACTCAGCTCAGTGACACAGAGAGGGGGAGAGAGAGAGAGAGAGAGGGGGGGGGTGCTACTCAGCTCAGTGACACAAACAGAGAGAGAGAGAGGCGCTACTCAGCTCAGTGACACAGAGAGAGGGGGCGCTACTCAGCTCAGTGACACACAGAGAGAGAGAGAGAGAGAGAGAGAGAGGCGCTACTCAGCTCAGTGACACAGAGAGAGAGAGAGGGGGCGCTACTCAGCTCAGTGAAAAAGAGAGAGAGAGGGGGGGGGGTCGCTACTCAACTCAGTGGCACAGAAAGAGAGAGAGAGAGGGGGGGGTTCTACTCAGCTCAGTGACAGAGAGAGAGAGAGGGTTGCGCTACTCAGCTCAGTGACACAGAGAGAGAGAGGGGGGCGCTACTCAGCTCAGTGACACAGAGAGAGAGAGAGAGAGAGAGAGAGAGGGCGCTACTCAGCTCAGTGACACACACATAGAGAGAGAGAGAGAGAGAGAGAGAGAGGCGCTACTCAGCTCAGTGACGCAGAGAGAGAGAGAGAGGGGGGCGCTACTCAGCTCAGTGACACGGAGAGAGAGAGGGGGGGAGGCGGGTGAGGTTGAGCCTGGTCAATAGTTATGCCTCATTGAAAGAAAACAGCCACTTACTGGAGGGAAACATTGAAAACATGCGGGCACAAAGTAGGCTAGTTAAACAAATGGAAAGATAAAACATACTGATATTATCAGATGAGCAATTATTATTAAAGTGGTAGCAATTTTAATATAGTAAATATCTGGATTAGTTTGAGAATTTGGCCTTTAGTGTTGAAGACGAATTTTCCGTAAATAATTCCTATCAGTCCACTTGATTAATTATCAGTCGCGTGCCGTCTACATACGCAATGTTGGTAGCAATTGATCTTTCATTCTCTCCTAGTTGTACATTCTTTCTTTTATGTCCATTTTTAATATCATTCTCCAGATGTAGGTTCCGGGACCCATTTTGAGGTAAACAGGGTAGACCCCCTGACCCCTAATAAGAATGCCGTATTAGGCAACTAATTAGGGGTTTTTCCTGAGAAGTCGAAGTGCATCTGCACGAGAAGCGAGGAACCAACAGTCTACATACACATAAGCCAGATACGTGAAACAGATATGTACATTAAGGTCAAGGTATTTTTCCTATTCCAACCCTGTCTTGTTATTTCTAACCAGGAAACAAATTGTGTCTTTCCTGATAACACATACACTCTAACACAAAGCACTGATTTACTGTTATTCTAAGTTATGGCAGAAACGGATGCGACAGAATCATTAAGGCAGGCTGTTTATTCTTTCTGAAGGCACGTGAAGTCACTGAACTGATATTTAAAATAAGCCGCCTTCATCAAACGGAAGATTGGGGAGGGGGGTGCACAGCTTCCTAAAACATTGATGGGGTGTCACGTGACTTGAGCCAGTCACGTAGGAAGGCGGTGCTTCTTCACAAGGTGTCATCCTTAAAGGAGGGTGGGGGTGACAAAATGGCAAAATTTTATATTTGTAAAATAAAATATGTATGTGAATGTATTTGTTTTTGTAGGGAATGTCACCGGAAGCCAACTGATCTGGCAATGCCACTAGGGGGTAACAGGACATTTTCGGAAGCGGTTACCATCTAACCTTGCTACGCCACTGTCCCGCGGGTTCCGGCTCACATGTATGCTACAGCTAGACTGGTAATGAAGTATAATTTGTCGGCCTAGATACAGCATCTAAAATAAATGCAGAGCGTCTCATCCACGCCCCCTACTATATGACAAGACCCACACGCAACTCTGAGTATATGACAAGACCCCAACACTCTCCTTGAGTATACGGCAAACCTATGTGCCCCCTTGAGTATATGGCAAAATCCCAGTGCCCCTTTGAGTATATGCAAGACCCCTACTCTGCGACCCCCCCCCCCCTCCCCTGTGAGTATATGGCAAGACCCCTACGCCCCTTTGAGTATGAAAAGAAACCCTTCCCCTCCCTCCCCACATAAAAAAATGTGATTTAAAAGGGGACAATGGATCAGGGTTGCCAGATTAAAAAAAAAAACTTTATTTTATGTCAAACTATTGCCCAAAATATGCCAGAAAAAATGCCAGATAAAGTGTAACATTGTACTCGCTTCACATCAAAAGCTCTAGATTGAATTCTTCACTGTGATCCTCACTGGAACAAGTGGAAGACACAGCGTAAACCTTTTCGGATGTAAAATCTTTAGGCATTTTCTCAGATGAGATGAAATCTTTGCAACTCATCTATAATGATGGCATATTACTTGTTCCTAAAATCACCAATAAGGTCACCTGCATTATTACTAGGGGAAATAACCTGCTAAATTGTGAATACTTTAGTCTATGGAGTTGTCATCCTGCTTTTCAATTTATATGTCAGATGCTTTTTAGTAT